CCCCAAAACCCCAAAACCCCAAAACCCCATACTTTCAAATTTATTGATATTGAGTAGAAATATTAATAAATTATTTTGATTATATATTAGCATTTATCAATGCTATAAAATGAAAGAATCTATTTCAATCCCTTTATCTTGGGAATAATTTAGCTTTCACTGAATGATTTTAGTTGAATTTTTGTTAACCAAGAGCTATGATGTTAAACTTTAATTTCCCAAAAGTAGCATTGTATAATTCTCTCCATAAGTTTTATTTATTTATTCTTGTCTTCTATTAAGAATCTTGTCTGCATTTAATGAAACGTAGGAAAATTCGGGGAAACAGTCATTCACAGTAAAGTCAACTCGACCTTTATCATAGATCGAAACTCTACTTCTGCCAAAATCAGAAATATCTTCAGCATCTTCTAAGGGATCACACTTCATGAAAATGACAGTAAACAAAGCGATTAACGATGACACAGTAGTAATCAGCATCATACCTGGATATCCTATGTACTACTAAGCTTCAAATATTATTAAAGAAAGCGTTAAAGTAGATAAGCAATTAGCTGTGAAGCAATATGAGTACAAATATGATCCATTCTCTGGTCCAAATACAAAAGCAAAGAAAGTAGGAAGTGAAACAAATATAGAACCGTAAATGAAGTTTATAATGCATAGATAGAATGTAAAAACTAATTCATTCTGCCCAACATAAGGTATAGTTGCTGATAAAATAACGGATGCACCCATCAGAATGCTGAAGAAATCCTTAAAAGATACTCTCTCTAATATCATTCCTCCAAGTAACCTTGATAGTGCGTTAAAAAAGAGTGCTACTGAACCAGCATATGTCAGGAATACATCTGAATGTCCTAATTATTCGCCAAATGCTTTGAACTGGATAAAGATGTATTAGGAGAACATTATTGCAAAAAAGAAGAGAATGTAACTTTAATAAAATTGTGGGCAACTCACTAATTTCGCAAATCCTTGATTTAGTAATTTTTATTTCCTCTATAGAGTAAGGCTTCTCTATATTGCATGATTTTCTTAAGGTAGCCAAATAAGGAGTATTGCTACAATGGAGATTACTAGTATTTAGAATCCCATTAAAGTGAAATAGGGAGGAACTCTAATGCTGACCTCATCATCAAAGTACTTATATATAGATTTGACGTCATTTTAATACATCGGATCTCTCCCATCAGGGTTTATTCTTTAAGAAGATTAAATATTGCCTAAGATTGTTCCCAATCCATTTGATAGGAATATAAGACTGCAGACTAAGCCTTTTCTGTGAGGGAAGCATTTCCAACCAACATACAAAGGTATCATAAACTATAAAGGTAATGAAATATTTGCTTATATAATTACTATCATTCCTAGGCCAAGTCCACCAAGACAACTATAAAAAAGTACGAATTCTGAGTATTTAGTAGCTACAAGAGTGAGGAATTAAGAAGAAATATAAAGTCCCAAACCAAGGGCCATAACTCTAGAAGATATAAGGAATTGAAATTTACATTTAGGGGTGCAAATATAGAATAGTTTTAGTTCCAATAGCACTAGCAAAAGCCATTACCAAAGATTAAATAGGGAAAATGGCGAACATCTAATCTAGTTGTATAGTTTAGTCATAGATCCTTAAATAAGAGCAAACATATACTTAGATATTTCCCCATATGTTCATTGTTCCAAGAATCTAAAGTTGATTGAATTGAAAGTTTTAAAGCTACGAGATGGCAAAGCATGCATCCAAATAGTGAAAGATATTTTCTGTATTGGTTCTAGGTGTACTTATAATTATTCATTTATCGAGATAAATTTGGAAGCTCTCTTAAATTAAATATTAGATAATGAGATTTCTATCAAAATACAATAATTCATCTATCTTTGATTAATACTGATACATCACTAAATCACATAATTCTAGTGATTAGGGGTTTTGGGGTTTTGGGG